TGGATGAAATTTTTACAACAAAATGATGACTGACTTTCCACTGAGATCTGGTCTGACTCTGTCTTAGTATAAAGTAATTAATAATTCACTATTTTATGCTTTTTTTTTTTATAAATGGCAATAACTATTTCTAAAGCTGGGGATTCAGCAGTCTGTTCGAATTGGGATCTTTAATTTGTTTTTCTGAGCCCTCTGCTTTGTATCTGCTTTTTGATAGGCCACAAAGGAATATGAACTATGTGCTGTAATAGGCAACAAATATTTGAAGTTACTCTACAAGATGCTATGGGAAAGATGAAAATAAATAAAGCAACATGCCTTCCATTGAGGGATTAAGCAGTGCATGTCCTTTAAGTTTTCATTTGATTTGAAATGCCACCAGCAAAAAGGGTGTGCAGGCTACAAGGGAAGAGAAAAACAAGCAGTATCTTCCCATTTCACTATGGCTCACTCTGTGACCAAGAATATGTTACTTGACCTCCCGGCACCCCGTTCCAAATCCTTAAATGATACTTATATTAGCATTTCTAAGCATTCTGAGATCTCTTAAAATATGCTTTGAACTATTCAGTCTAAATGCTGCTTTCTAAAAAGCTACTAGTTTAAAGAATGGGAAATGGTGTTAATGGAGTTAATCTGGTGTAATTTCAGTGTGGGTTGTCAAGAATACCTCTAAGTAAAGAAAATGACTCTAATCTTCTTAAGCAATTCATTTTCTCAGCAACTCAGAGGCCGGAGTTAATTTACTCAGCCTGTGTACGTGGGCCCTCTCTTATTAAAGAAATATTTTACTTATGGGAAAAAAGTTGGGATAACCGTGAAATCATTTAAATTTGGATACTGGAAATATTACAAGATAGAAGACATGTTAAACTGTCTTTTTGTTTTTCTTGTTATAAAACCCCTTTTTGGGTTTCCTTTATAAAAACCCAACTCAACTACCAATGCAGAAATAAAAGCCCTATTACAAGGAGGACATTTAGCCATGGGGTCAAAACAAGAGCTATTTGGTTGTTTCAAAAGGATAGAGATCAAAGAGTTGATCACTCCTTCACTGAGGTTCAGGCAGCAGGATGGGGTGCAGTGGAGAGGGAAGGAACTCAATCCTTTATGCTGTTATGCCAAACCACAATTTCCAATAAGCCTTGCTGGTGTTTTCTTAGACTGGTTAGGTCATGATTCTGAATTTTTTATTACAATAATGTTTTGCTCTTAGTTGATCATTGTTTCTGCCTTCCCCTCTAATCATAAAGGACCCGTGTTCTTTTCTAAAAAAAAAAAGCAAAATGGAGATTCTTCCTATGAATAACATTTATAGTTCCCTTAGGTTGTAATAAAATGGATTTTTTTGTTTTTTGCAGGTGATATTCAAAAGGAAACTAATTTCAATTGCGTTTTTTCTAT